GTGAAAATGAGGAGAGCACTCTAGATTCTGCCCTGCTAAATGCTGAAACATCCCCAGCCGGCTCCTCCCGGCCCCCTCCGGCTTCCACACCTTCTCCAGCTTCGTCTGTCGCTGCTAAACCTGCCGATGGCACCACTGCTGCTTCAACCATTTCAGCCTCTTCAACCCAGGGGGCTACCACCCTCACAGCATCGTCATCATCGTCACCTTCCTCCCCTGAGCCAGGAGAAGCGAGTGCTTCAGTAGCTGGAGGCAGTAGTAGCAGCTCAACAACAACTGCTGCTTATCTTATCAAAGCTGCACTTTAAAAAATGAAATTGTCTAGAAAGCTATTCTAAATGAAATTTCTTTTTGTTTAGAAGTGTGTATACAAAATTAATCTGTGGATGTCTTTTATGAGCTCTCAAACAGATTGCTTTCCTGTTTGACATAAGGTTTCATGTTATGGAAAGTGTTTAGTATAAATGGATCCCACAGGTAGTCATTTGGAACTCAGCAGATCTTTACCCAGTATCAACAATGTTTATATTTGAATTGACAATGTTTTAGGTGAGGAATTCAGTTAAATGCACAGCTAAATTACTCATTTTTATCAAAAAATTCAATTTAAATATCAATTTCAGGTTCAGTCCAGCTTTCCCATCATCTAAAATGGTGATGTTTTTGACAGCAATCTTAGATTTAGTAGTAGTTTTCATATTCGGGATGAAAACTTTTATTTCTTTTAGTAATATATTAGTCATTAGTATATGTGATAGTTTTGCTCGGTTTCAGTCGACTAAAGCTCTCAAAGATTTTAGTCTAGTTTTAGTCAGTTTTATGTTTCACTTAAAATAAAAGAGCTAAACTTTACAATTTCTAATAACAACCACATTCTTTACAAGACTGACAGCTTTAGCCTAATACTACAATTGCTGGAGACACAATGCTTCCGTTCAGTTTATTATTGCTGTTGGACAGAAAATTGATTCCAAGAATCAAAATAAACTTTTTTATCAATAATACTCTACTTTATAAAAATTTGTGTCACAAAAGTTGTAAAAAACAGCAGGTCTCATTTAACAGACAGACAAGCTGACTAAATTTACAATAAAGTAATGGTTTTAGACATACAAGATTTT